TGTTGAATTCAACAAATCTAAAAATTGCCAAAGGTTGAGAAACACTGCTGTATAGCTACTCTGGGATCCCTTAAAAAGATGTTTGGTTTATGGAGTTGAGGACATGTGCTACATTAATTAGAAGAGACAGGCAAAGTGCTTCTTCTTAATTCAGAACTCTGTACTACACAATTCAACCAGACACTGCAGTTGTACAATTCCTTTGATTTGTGAACAATCTATGCAAAAATCTCACAGTGAAAGGAACAGTGACAGCCCACCAAACAGGCATACATAACAAAACTGCAAGATTTCAAGCACTAATTTAAATAGTAAAAAGCCATGAGGCAGAAGACTTTCACATGACTTTCATTTCAGCAAGCAAAAGACAAAAATAATTAATCATTCACACAAGATGCAGCCCAGTTAAAAAAGCTATTAAAGACTTAGTAGCTATATTATTACATCAACAGCTATATGGTAAAATTCAGCCAAAGGCTTAGTCCTGGACTCAGCCCTTAAAGACCTATAAATGGTTACAGGAGCAATAGTAGACAACTGAAAGAGTAATGTTTGAGCCTGATTCTCAGAGAAGATGAAGACAATTAGATACAAACATCATCAATCAGGTTTATTAGGCAAATGTGTGTTTACTGAAGAGAGGACAACTCTGAGAATAGGGCTTCAACTAGTTATTCTGGTTTACAGAATGCCCTGCTGGCACAAAGCCCAAACAAGGGAGAGCAAATTCTATTTTGAAGACAGTTATCTATGCTTAATACAAATACTGGACAGGGAATTAACTTATACAGGAATCCTCAGGACTTAAGCCCAAGCAGGTGTGGCTAAAATGCACCATCCCAAAAGGTGCCCAAAAGTAGCAAAAAGGGGATTTTTTGTTTTACAAAAAGCTAAAGATGCCATCAGTCACACCACTCTTTGTAATGGCACAGGCATATCTATGTAGATTTCTTGCCAGCAATAACATGTTTGCCATTGGCTTCTTCCAATATGTCTTTCCAACTTTCTAATCTACAGTCCTAGAATTTCCTGGTGGTCCACATCAAACTAGTAACAGGGCTGTTAATATCTTAAACTGAGTCATTCTGAACTAAAGAGGCAACAGATTATGTATTTCAAATTCTTCATCCACATATTTACATTTTGTAACAAACTCCCTGAAAGAAATGTCTGTCCGCTTGAACTTCATTACACCTTGAACTTTCAAGAATTCAAATCCAGTTTTGATAATAACACAAACGTTTGAGTAGTTATATTTTTCTCTATGTGAAAAATTTATTTTAGAGAACAGCTAGGTATTCCTAATAACAAATATCTGAAGAGCGAGCAATGAAGCCATTATCAAAATTCTAATATATAATATGAACATACAACTCTTTATGATGACACTGATTCAGAAAAGCTGCTCAACCTTACCTAGCAGTTGGGCTCAGGCAGGTGAATTTGTCTACCACACTTTTTGACTTACACTTTTCTAGAATGCTATGAGTTTGACTGACATGATCTTGCTTCTCATGCCTATGCAACCAAGTGATCAATTTTCTCTCTCATAATGTGCAAAGACGTCAACTTCTGCTACTTTGCCAATAATATAGGAACATACTTTACCTATATAGCTCATGTACAAACACACAAGATTTGAACAAATAGGCAGATTTAAAGCTTTCTTGGTTTGGTAAAGTTGCAAGTATTTAAGATAGTGTTTCAGCTAACATATTTACTTTGGAAAAAGTCTGATATTGATTTCAGTATGAACTTTGTCACACTAGCAAAAAATTACAAACTTATTTGTAATGGCAAAAGTCCCAGGCTCTTACTTTTACAAAGCCAAAGGATAGAGTAACGCTTGCTTCAATGGTAATTAAATATTATGCAATGAGATTCAAGTTGCAGTTAAAATGGGTGTGCTGAGATTCTAATAATCCATGGTACATTTTAGATTTAAGATAGCTGCAAGGTACCACTTACCCATCTACCTTGGTCCTATATAGGAAAACACAATAAAAGTAAATTAATGAAATGTGCAAATCCTCATATGCAAGAACAGGATAAATTTAAAAACAATTTCAGTCAAATTAATCAAAATCCCAACTGACTTTTCTCATTTACAAAAATGTAATATTGTAACAAAATATTATGGAGTTTATTAAGAAATAGATTTATTCATGCATTGAAAGATGGATATTGCATAAGATTTGAAGAATGAAACAGGAAATTACATTTGAAACATCTAGAGTTTCAATATTTTTAGTTAAGAAACTATGTAAGTCAGAAATGGGACTTTAAGATCATATGTCTGCATATAGAACTTACATATAGTTTTCAAGGAGAATAAAAAACATACTGTAACTATTATAAAGGGCTTCTTTGAAGTAGAAATAATTTAAAAATCCATTTAGGAAAAAAAAAATCTGCTGTCTAATATTACCATGTGAATGGAATAAGAGGCTTGAAGACTCTTCTCCTAGGCCTTTAGCAAGGATGAGCAAAGCCCTTGGATTGTGTGGGCCTGTTCCTTTTTTCCATTCCAGTCTGGTTTCTATTATCTTTGCTATATTTCATCCTTTATGCTTGTTTCTAATTGTATTTTTTTAAATGTTTTTTTACTTGTGAGCTGTCCAGAGTTGTTGGGAGGTATACAAATTTAATAAATAAAATACCTAAAGATAACTGTGAGGTGTATACCAATATAATTGAAGAGAAAGAAAACTGCGACAAGACATTATATATCATAGTGACTACTGAGTACAATTTAAAATGGTAATAACTACTGGAGATTATTATTCACATAAATGGTGGACTTTCCTTATTATACAAAGCATTTGGGTAAACATGGAAATGACTATTTCACTGAGTTCCAAGACTATCTTACTTGATTTTCTAAGCACAACTTTCTGACTGATGTGCTCACAGCTGCAAAAATTGTGGTAGCCAAACACCGAAACCAGGAAAATATATGATCAAAAGCAGATTAGCAAAGTATGGCCAGCAGCATAATTAACAGAATTAAATCAAATAATTAAACATAGCATGGAAAGATCTCTAGAAGTTAGCGTATTTTTCTTTTTTGAACCAACAGTTTACAGAAATATAGGCAATTGTCACTACTTTGATGCTAGAAACAACATAATTTACTTTGTATAGAGGAATATAATATTCTATGTTTAAATTTGTATCAGAATAATCTTGGTATGAATACACTTAAACTTTTTTTTTAATTGCTTTTGTCATAGTACCTGGCCAGCTTGTCACCACTGTTGTACAAAATATCCAGTCAAATAATGTAGAGCCCCAGAGGCACATGGGGTATTACAATGGAAGAAAGGATTCTCCCCACATTTCAGCTATGTCTCAAAGGTATGGAAGCTATGGCCCTTTAGATATTGCTGAGCTCCATCCATCAATACTGGCCGTGCTGATGGGGTTACTGGCAATTGTTGTTCAACACTAGAAAGTTCACGAATTCCACAGGCACTGCAGCATTAATTTTTTTTTTTTTGGTTCCATTCACATGGACACACAAATAGCATATATCTGTAAAAATGTTTTAGTAAACTATATTTTAAAAATAAAGACTTGAGTTTCTCCTCCTTCTCTTCATTGTAGAAAAGAAGAACAGCCTTTTCTCGCCTAAGGTAACTGCTGGAGGGAAGAAGTTCTGAGATCAGGGTATTGTTCCTAACTTTCTTTCCCCCTTTTCTTATACTTGGCTTGGCATCATACATTAAGTGAAAACCTAATTTATCTTTACCTAAGGAAACTATTATATGGAAAAATTGGGCATTCTACTTTCATGGCTCTGAATGAGCAATTAATCTTAGTTTGGGCCAGAACCTCTGTATTTCCCTGTAGTAATACCATATTTCCTGGCAATAGGAAAACATGTATAGCTCACACATATTAAGTTAATTTTAAAGGTAAGTTTAAGTCATGCAACATGACTACCATTGGTCAGGTAATTTAACCATACTTGTTTATCATTAACACATGTATGGTTAACATCATGCAACTTCCTTATCAGATGGAAGATGCAGAAACAACTGAGGTCATAATACAGCAGTAACCCAGACTAGGTTTAAGAATTCTTTAGCGCTGCATAAGTGCTAAAGGTTTGCAGTCCCATGGTCTGAAGAATACAGGAAATGCATTGCCAATTTCTCTTAATACTTCAGTAAATTTTAAATTTACTTTTAAAATTTTAAAATTACAGCTACTAGTACAATAAACCTTTTGCAGTGGTCTGGATGCTCAAGAAGTTTACTTTTCTAGTCAGGTTTAAGAACTTTTAACAACAGCTTTTAATGTTTTAAAACAGAAAACCTTTTTTTTTGCTATAGTTTTTGAAGTAAAGATTTCTGGTTCTGAGCATCTTAAGATAATATGGACAAAGTCTTCTGTAGCTCCATGTACCAGTTTCAGCCCCTTCCCTGCCATGGAAAAAGAAAGACTTGCCGTGTACTTAGCCAATCAGATCAAATAACTGTCTTATAAAAATGCTCTCACTTTTTTCCATTTTAAGTGATATCACAATAGCAAAAGGCAGATTTGTAATCCTAAAAAACTTTGGCTTCCTGACACATCATCATAGTTCTGCATTTTGTGCAACAACAACGATGTGGGCTCTCTTTCCTATCTTCCAGAACTCCTGATGGGTCAGGAGATGAGGAATGTAGCTACACTTCACCAAATGTTGCACCAAAAAGATCACTTATAGAAAAAAGGGTTTAACTGCAAATAAGTTCTATCTATTTCAGGGCAGCATTAGCTTAATACATCATTTCATAATTTGGCAAATGGAGAAGAATTCCCACCCCTCACTTACCTTATCTTTCTTATCTTGCCTAGCATAAGGAAAACATGGGATTACTGCTGTCACACGGGAAGATGATGCAATCTTGCAAGCATTGATCATGATGAGAAGCTCCATCAAGTTGTCATTTATTTCTCCACAACCACTTTGGACAATGTACACATCTTCCCCTCTAACACTTTCACCAATCTCTACGCTGAAAGAAAGATGAAAACATGTACTGTAACTCCGACGACACTAACCACCCTAATCTTATAGACCAGTAACATTTTGCATTCATAATTGGCTTCTTTCACTTTCCAACTTAGCTGTCCACAGAAATAGATAAAAGTAACCAGGGAGTGGCTATGTTCTGAGTCCAAGGGTTTGCACCCCTTTGCCAGATGAAGGCCTCCATGCATGTATGAACTTATGCCCATTCATATACTAAATATGCTTACCTTCATCATGGGATTCATTTATTCCTTTATACAGTTTAGAGCAGTGCTTCTCAACCTTGGCAACATGAGGATGTATGGACTTCAACTCCCAGAATTCTGGGAGTTGATGTCCACACATCTTCAAGCTGCCAAGATTGAGAAACACTGGTTTAGAAGCTGCCCAACTCCACAAGACTGTATCTGGCTTACAACTTTAAAAACAGGAAACAATAAAAGAACTTAGGTCATAGACATCCAGAAAAAAACAAATCAATAACAAAATCCTACAAGGTACTCAACATCCACCCTATCCCAAGGGCTGGGAAAATAGTCAGATTTTTCAACAACTTTCTGAACATCACCAGGGGGAGAACCATATAAACCTCAGGGGACATTTGTGAAGGGTGGGAATCAGTAACAATATGCCAAAAAAAATAAAGGTTTGTTCTAGATTTCCTTATGGAGACAATTAACACTTTTTAAAAGCAGATGCAGAAAAGCTAAAGACCTCATGTGCACCCAAACATGAGTCTTCTCTCAAGCATACGCCTGAGAGCAGTGTAGGTTTGCTATTGTTCATTGGCTATGTTGAAGAACTGTATATACAATTACTGCTTAATGTTTTTTTAAGTCATCCAATTCTGTAGATTGGGCAGTCAACAGCATCCAGCCTGAACTACTGCTGCTCTTAAAACAAAAAATGAGGGAGAAGGGATTTTTGAGGTCCCATTATTTTTGTTCTAGAACTTATTTTTAAAAATAACAAATATCCGTAACAAATAAAGGAAGCACCAGTGCAGCAAATGTATGCAGCTTCACTGCACAAAGAGCAATAGAACTGAACCTGGGAAAGAAACAACAGCAGTGGAGTCACTTCAATCCAGCCCATGAGTAAGAGTGAAAATACATTTTTATATCTACTGCCAAGTACACACTTTTTGCATTTTGCAACCTGAAAACTCAACAATATATCTGAAATGCACATGGAACAATACTTTCTGTTGCATTTCGCTCTCTGCTTGAGAAAAAAATGCAACTCAGAAAGGAACCTACACCTGTTTTACAAACTAATGCATTATCAAAACCATTATCAAAATGGAGGAATGTAATAGTATGCCAATTTGAACTTGAGCTTCCCACACCTATTCCAACATCCTAATCACTATACTATATATTTTATAATATACAAAATAGCCCTAAAATTATAATAAATTAGCAGAATATGCAATATGTGATTCAGCCAGATTTAACTAAATATGGAAATATTAAAGACATTTCTTTTTTTCTATTGAACTTAAAAGGGCCTAACTTTTGCATCAGACTGCTACAAAAATTCACTTTATTCCACATGTATCAAGGACAAAATTACTAATTAACTAATTGTCCTCTCCTCCTCTTCCCCCCACCCAAGTTTAAACAATCTTCAGCAGTGACGATATAGATGAAAGGGCATTAAAGTAAGATTTTTTTTCTCAATAGGACATCTATGTTTGTTTTATGCAACTTATTAAATTTGGTGGTTCAGAACTTTCAGTTCAAATCTCCATTAAAACATGCCAAACCAGTAGTTAGGAAATGAGATGAAAAGGATGTGTAAACTTGCATGATCTGATTCTGGAAGTGAATCTTCTGGAATTGGAAGTGGCTACTTCTTTGGGAACAATAATAATTTGATCATACTGCCTTTCTACTTTGTCAAGCAACTGAGATGGTCAATGCAATTAAAAAAAGGAAAACAATGTAAAATTAAAACAGACTAAAACTGATAAAATAATCAATAAACCATATCACACAACTATAACATAACCCAATGGAAGCTGCCCAGATTTTTTATTGAGGTTTTTAATAACATTTTAAAATAAACAATATAAAGTAATATTAATGATAAAATACTAAGTAAACAATAGTGTTGAAGTTAAAGCTTTCAACTACCTGATTTTACTATAAAATAGTCTGTAAATATCCTTAGAAAATAGAAATGGTGAATGGCTGCAGCTCTTTCCCTCCCTTAGAAGCCTACCAGTCCAGAAACAAAAAATAAGAACAATACACAGCTATTGGGGCACTTGGGGAGAGTAGAGGCAATCATACCAGTTTGCCTTCAGGGCAATGGTCATTTTGTGACTGGCCTTGTCAACAATGGAAACCATTTTGTAAATAGTCAATCCCACAAGAGCAGCCATTTTGTGAGAGATCCATGACTGGCCCTTACAATTTTGAATTTGATTACTTTGCTAACCTTCTTTTAAAGGGGCAAGACTATTCAGTTTCTTATTTTAACTATACCACTCTACTGTCAATGCAACAAAATGCATCACTTATGAATACAGTTCATACCCCAATCCCTTTCACTGAATTCAAGTCAACGCAACCATTTATATGCACAGAAAGTTGAACAGCCAATACAAGTTCCACTTATGAAACTGGCCTTAGCTTGAGACTAAGGTTCCTCTCCTATCCATCCAGAAGAGTTGATTTAAGAAACAAGGTTAGTTTTTTTACAATTATACTTCTCTTTGTAAAACACTGTGACTATATTACAAATATATTTTTCTAAAGGGCAGCATTTTCAACCATAGTAAAACAGTATTTTTACTTATTTACAGTATTTATGTAATTTATATGGCCACCCCTCTCACAGCAGTGACTCTGGACAGTGTGCAAAGATTAAAGATTTAAATAGAAGACTGACACATGCAAACTGGGCCCACAGCTCTACCACTCAATCCACAGGAATTGATAAACAATTACTTCGGTCTGATGGGATAAAATGACTGCAAGCCCTTTCAAAATGACAAACACACTGACAAAACTGTTGGTAGAGTAGGGATGGAAAAATAAGGGCAAAATAGTCCCCCCTCCTTTTGAATTGGGGTAGGTAGCACTCATATTTAATGTGCAACTTTCAAATTCAAAGGTAAAAAGATGCTTTGGAGCATGCAGGGGGCTCAAACATAGCACGTCTTCAACTTTTTGAAGTTTCTGTGTCTTCTCCCAGGACCAGAAAAGGGTGACAGAGTAGTCTTTACCTCAAATCTAGGCCTTCAATCATCTTGAAATGGGTTCAGATAACCTATAACATCAAAGAACTTATTTTGATTTCGTTAAAATCTGAAATCTGTATTATGTTCAGGAGCAATGTTAAATTATAGACAGTTCTTTTGGGAAGCACCGTAAACAAAATTATGTTGTAAGCTAATATTTTAAGAACATTTGTCAGGCTACCTGTTTGGTAATACTGCCACATGAACTCTTAATTCAGGTAACACAAAAGTATAGGATGAGCAATTAATTATAGGTGCTTACATCCCATCCTTCAGTAGAATTCCCAGGGGAATAAATATAATTAAGAATACAAATTAAAATACATTGCCTATGCTTAAATGGACCATGGTGTGTGTGTGTGTGTGTGTGTGTGTCATTTAAACAAACAAACAAACAAAAAAACCAGGGTCAGTTCCCCCAGCCAATCAACCTTAAGGGTAGTAGATTTAGCCCTACACTACCTCAGGCCTGTTGAGGTAAATTAAACCCCTCCCCAATCAACTATGTTGTATGAACAGCTTACAAGGGATTTGTGATATTAACAATCTTTTCCCATCCATCCCTGGGGCTGTTTCAGTTTTCACGGCCTGTGGCTACATGGGGGTGAAAAAAGGTGACTAAATTGTTCAAGCATACCTTTTGTTTAAGGAAACAAGTGAGAAAGCAAGCAGAAATTGCCCAGTCTGCTTTGCACTGACTGGAGGAGTTTAAAAGTAGTCAAAGAATGACTATGCAGTGCCTGACTGCATAGAGATAAATCTTTTGGACAGGGAGAATACCAGTCCACGCTGTTGCGAGGACACAGCTATATTATCAAATGCAAAATACAAGATGTGTATCAATGAATTAAAAATGAAAATAATGTACAACCTCAGAGAAGAAATAAAGCTAATTAAGTGTGAGCAGCATAAAAGATTAACCGGGCTGTGTGGCCGTGTTCTGGAAGTTTTGTTTCCTAAGGTTTCACCAGCATCTGTGACCGGCATCTTCAGAGGGCAGGAGCACAGACAGGAGTAGTTCTCTCTGTGCCCCTGCTCCTGCAACTGCTCCTGTCTGTGCTCCTGCCCTCTGAAGATGCCGGTCACAGATGCTGGCGAAACGTTAGGAAACAAAACTTCCAGAACACGGCCACACAGCCCGGAAGACCCACACCAGCCATTGTATTCCGGCCGTGAAAGCCTTCGACAATAAAAGATTAACATTGTAGTTCTATGCAAGGCCACTTTGAAACTAATCTCACTAACCACAAGAGGATTTATTTGTAATACTTGTGCAGAGCAGAAATGGAGAACCAGTGGCCCTCCAGCTGTTATTCAGGAATGCCTCCTGAACATTAACCATGATGGTTAGGCCTGATGGGAGCTAATTTCCACATCATCTAGAGGGCTATCAGTTAGCACCCTAGTGCAGAGGAATGAAATCTTGCCAGACCAGAAGTTAACTCTTGCATTTTAATATAACCATACGTCAATCTCTAGTCAGGTAATGCTACCACCTTTCAATATTATAACCTGTTAAGAGACACAGCTAACAAGTGCCAAGAAACAATAATTTTGGAAGAGATTGGTATAAGGGATTGAACATGCTGACCAGATGTTGACTCTGGAATTCATTCCCTCAACTGGTCCAAAAGAACAAAAGTTTGTTGACCCTCAGGGCAAGTCTTATCAATGTACACAGACATTTTCCTTGGGCTTGTGTGGAAATAGCCTGAATTTCAGGAAGAGGATTAGTAGCATTTTAATACTGAGCCAATTGGTTAATTGTTCACTTCTACTAATACGCAGTGCTAAACAGCCACTCGTGTAATAGTGTTCCAATAAGAACAGAACAAATGCAGTCAGCAAGACCTTCTTTCAGCTGGTGCCTTCCACAAATGAAGGGGCTACAGATCACAGAATTGAATTCAGTCAGTCTGGCCAATTGTCAGCCATATTATATGAGAATTATGGAAGCTATAGTTTTAACACATTTGGAGGGGACCAGTTTGGAGAAGGCTGGGCTAGAAATATAAAGTGAGATGGTCTAATAATATTTTACTCATCAGCAAAAAGAACAACAACAAAAACTCAACTTACAAGTGTTTTTTTACCCATAGTTAAGCTGGATCCCTAAACAAACTCATGTTAGAAAGTACAGGCATTTTCAGTAAGTATACACATAATATTAAATGCAGAGCATAATACAAATATGAAATGTAACACATGGAGCAGGAGCATATCTACTGCTTCACGTGCCATTCACTCCAGTGCCAAGTACTAGTAAGGACTGCCATCAATTCCCTACTGTATATATAGATATATATGTAGTAACAAAAACATCAGCAATATATCAGTATCACTTCATTTCCTATTAATAGTCACATTTTGGCACTGGACTGCTTAAATATCTGAAGTTAACTCAGGTATGGTAAGGTGAGCTTGGATATAGGAAATCCAGCCCCAGAGAGCAACTTGTTTAACCTACTGTGAAAATTACTGGCTATCTCTCAGCCTGTAACATAGAATTACTCTAATGATAAAACATGATTCTATGCTTTCTTAAGAAGGGGTTGAACACAGATTCAGACTGTACTCTCTCTTAAAATGACCATGTTTATAAGTCACATTGGGAAAAAAAATTGAAGACAAAAAGGTAAATCACCATGAAGAGAATTTTTTTGGTAACAATACAGGAGTGGTTTGCCATTATTTTCTTCAAGGATGGGGGTTTTGGGGGGGGGGAATCTTCTGGTTTTCTCTACTACCCCGGTTATTCTCCAAGTCAAGTACTAACTAGATCCAATTCTACTTAGCTTTTTGAGATCTGTCAAAGTTGGCTAGCATTCAAATTAAGCTTACATGAAAAGGCATGATTAAACAGGCCAACCATAGACTAATGTAGCATAACAGTGAATTTGCAGTGAAAGTAAAAAGACTACAAACGTGCACTCTAAAATAGAGAGGCGTTTAATGTAAAATACTCACTCACATGGAGGCAGAAAAATTAAAGTGCCAAACAGTGAAACAGATAAAAAGGAATTGGCAAGCAAGGACTAACAGTGAAATCGACAAAAGGTTAGGGCTTCATGCTACTTTAGTCGTCCAAGAATTACAGGAAGAAAAGATGCCAAATACAACTCAGTTCTTAAAAGATTTATTTTCTATGAAATATTCTTTGATCTCATATTCCCTTTACAACCATAGTACAGTAATGGGTAGTTTAGCTTATAGAAGAGACGACTGAGGGGAAATATGATCATTATGCGCCATCAGTTGTTTTCAACTCCTAGTGACCACATAGATAGATTTCCTCCATGATGATCTATCCCTAACCTGTTCTTTCAGGTCTCCAAACATGATAAGAGCATTTAAGTATCCTAAGGGATGACACATACAAGAAAAAGTAGGCTTATCTTGTTGCAAAATCAGGACCAATAGGTTAAAACTACAAGGAATTACATTCAGGCTAGCTGTGAGGAGGAGCTTCTTGACTGTACAATGTCAGCCACTGGAACAGGCTGAGGCCTGGAAGTGGTGAATCCTGTCCTAGAGTTCTTCTGTCAAATATGCCCTAGTAGATCCTATACTGAATAGGGGGTTGGACTAGTTGTCCTTTATGGTCCCTTCCAATTCTATTATTTTATGACTATGAGACAACATAATAATTAGAATAGAGTGTTTCTCTTAATCAAAAGGAATAACATCAGAGCCTATCAGAAAAAGAAGAATAATTAATAAAGTGAACTCAGTTCTTGAGAAGCAAGATGAGTGCAACTTATTGTGACTGACAATAAAGGAACAGATAAAGTAGAAAAATAAGCCTATTACATATGCATGTTAATTTAATTAAACAGCTTTATATTATTCTGTTATTTGCTTTCACAACAACTATACTATTTAGAAGAACCATTATTACTGGTTCTTAACTGTTTTAAGTTTAGAGAAACATAAGCAATAAGCTTTGTTTATGTAATTATTAGTGAACACACAGGGCATTTCTGAGCTCAAAGCTAGGTCACAGGGTGGAGACATAATGGGGGCTGGAGCAAGTAAAAGTAATCCTGTTCCCTCGAGTTAATTTAAGACAGTTTAAGGAGGAAATACTAAGCACATATATTTGAAAATAAAGAACTACAGTTCCAGTCCCTGTGCTTAGAAACACTATGTCCAGTGAATTTTAAACTATTTTTAGATACTGTTCCATGCATATTCTCCTAATCTCAGAATATAAATGCAACATTTCCAGGTGAAATTAGTTCAGAAGGAAATTAACTTTCACTTTATTTGTAATTTTGCATGATGACTTGACTAAACCTTTTTCCTAGTCACATGATCAGTGGAAAACAGATCATTTGCTGAAAAGCAGCAAGAAGGTTAGGTAATCATGCAGTCAACAGTGTTTTTGAAACATTATTCAGTTCTTTTCATAATCAGGACTGTCACCACAAAGAGAAAAAAAGTTCAAAGACAGAAATAGTTTTACGGTACTGTATAGGTAAAGCAAAGTGAGTAGAGGGAATCATCAATCTAGACAGTCTTGGTTAGTTGTTACTTACAAATTATGACCAAAAACAGCCTTTAAAGTACATCTTGGGAATCCTAGACAAGATGTATTCTGAGTTTATGACAATAACTGGAGTATTTTCCAACCAAGAACTAATTTGCACATAATCCTTTTGGATATTACTCGGAGATTTTGTATATCTCTGAGTAATATTTGTATTTTAATGACCAACATTAAAAGACAGGTATCATACCGGCAATACTTTTAGGAAATGAGATAATGTTCCAGATAGTATAACTGAGGCTACAATTTGTGGCTAACCAGGTTTGTTGATCTATAACGCAGAAAGCAGCTTCCAGACTAAACACACGGGTGTAGACAGGAAGCAAAGGGATTAAAGAGGCCTGTAGCAGGAACTTATTTTTTTTTTTAAAGCCAGCAAACACAGCGCGAGCGGTGTGCCTCGGGACACGTGCAAGATC